ACTAAGGAAAGCTAAAATGCCTAGAAGTGTGGGCTGGAGTGAGGGTCTGGTGCTCTTCTGTGTCACCTGGAGGGTTGGGTGTGTGTGGCTGGAGCCAAGGCAGGTGCTGGGGGATGCAGAGAGGGAAGGAGCCTCTGAGCATGTGATGTTGAGGTGCTGGTGGCAGGCAAAGACCAGAACAAGGACTTAAAAGTGTTGCTATCATACAGTGGTGCGTCTTTGTGTTTCAGAGACTATCTGCTTTCCTTATCAGTGTTTCAGCACTTGGGATACTCTGTTTAACTTCTCATGGCTGACAGATTACATGAAAGGGCATCTTGACCTTGAGGAAAACAGGATTTCAGGGCCCACCTGTGCTCACAGAGAGGTTTGGAGCTGAAAGTGGTTCCTGAAGTGTGGTACCCTGGTGCTGTGTCAGGAATGGCTCATTACAGTGTGCTTTCTGACTGAGGGAGAACTGGAGTTACACATGGAGAGCTTGGGGGGTACATTTTCCCCTTTGCTCCTCTTCCCAGGGCTCCAGCTTTGGCTGGGGAATGCTTTGTTAAGTATTTCTGCAGATAACTGAGGCATTTTTATTTCCTCAGCTGAAGTTTCCAGGTCTTAAAAGCACAAAATCACGTCTCTTAATTAGATCAGGACTGTGAAGCTGCTGCTTTGTCTGGGGATGGTGTTAAACACAGAACAGCACTTGGCTGCTTGGATGTGACCAGGATTTTGGTGTAAAACACAAGGGTTTGTGCTGCCTCTGCTGTTCTACAGCAGAGGGAAGAAAGAGAAGGATAAGAGGGTGGTGTTGCAAATCCAACTCCTGATGTGGTCCCAGTGTTGCTGTTACTGGATATAACATCAAACTCTTGCTTTTCTGCTCAGTGAAATACTGTGGGTACCTGAAAAACTCAACTAAGCCCTTCAGTTCAAACTGGAACAGCAAGTATCCCAAGCTGATGAAACTTGGAAGAGGTAAGTCTGAGCCACAAAATTTGTCCTGGGGGCTTGGAGTTATGTTAACACATTTAAATGCTGTTTGGTACCTTCAGGTTGTTTGAAACCTTTAAAACTTAGTGGAGTCCAAAATCCTCCTGGTTCAAAGGGAGGTGGAATGTGGAAACTGCTTGGGAGTGGCAGGGAGATTTTTCCCACCTGCTCTCAGCTAGTTTTAAAATCACCTGAGAGAAGATGTTGTTTTCAAATCACAAATCCTTCCCTGTGAAGATGCTGAGGCACTGGCACAGGTTGCCCAGAGAACCTCTGGCTGCACCATCCCTGGAAATGTTCCAGGCCAGGCTGGATGGGGCTTGGAGCAACCTGGGCTAGTGGAAGGTGTCCATGGCAGGGGGTTGGACTGGATGATCTCCAAGGTCCCTTCCAGCCCACCCCACTCTGATTCTGTGGTACTCTGTGCTCGGCCCCACAGCAGCCTGCCCTGTGGATCGACACTGGGACAGGGGCTGAAACAGCAGCTCCCAAAAGTTTTTTTTCTTCAGGCTCCAGTAGGAATGATTGGTTGGCATCTGAAGGGATTGGTGTTTGTGATTCTCACTTCTTCTCTTGTGCCAGACATCACCCTGTGGGGGCTGGAGCTGGGGCTGCTGTCCATGGCCAAGGGAGAGCTTGCGTGGTTCATCTTTGTGCCGAAATACGCCTATGGCCAAATGGGCTGTCCCCCCTGCATCCCCCCAAACACCACTGTGCTCTTCCTGGTGTTGCTGCTGGACTTCATAGACTCAAAGGAATCTGACGCCTTCCTTGAGCTAACCAATGTGAGTTGCCTTCTTGACGTTTGAGCCTGAAATCTGGAGGGTGAAGCATCATCCTGCCTTGCTGTTGCTGTGGCTGATGTGTTATGCATGTTGAGGTGAATGCAGGTGCAGGTATGCAGTCCCTGGGCTCCCAGCTCTGCTCTCATACACACACTCCTACCCTTTTTGACCCTCCCATGCAGAGGGGGAATCCTGGTGCTGCCTTTGTGTGCTCCCATGTGCCAGATGGAGTCTCTGCAACAGCTCCCGTTTAGCTTTAGCTTTATCAGAAGCCTCATGGTTGCACTAGAGGGCACCAGCTTCCTGGGATTCCTCTGAGGGAACACCAAGGAGCTGCCTGGAACAATCCTTTTCACTCTGCAGCTTCCCAGTGCCCCGCCAACCTCCACCCTTTGTCCCTACTCCTTGGCTGCTCTCCCAAGTGCTCCTTCCCTGTTCTTTCCTCCCTGGTGAGTTACAGTGGTATTGTTAATTCCCCTTTTCATTTCAAGGGCTTTGGGCTGTGGTTGTGGGTCAGTGAGTGGGGGCAGAGGCTGGTGGGGGAGGCCCTCCTGCTCCCTCCTGCTCCTTCCTGCTCCTTCCTCTGCCCAGGCCTATTTCCCCCCCACAGCCCTGTGAGCAAACCACACATTGCAGAGAGCTCACTTCCTCCTTACCTGTTGCGCCTTTCTGGCTGACTAACCTCTCTCTGTGAGCTGGTTCCAGCTTTCAAACCCAGAAGCAAACCTGTCCTGTTTTTATCCATTTTTATGACTTTTAGGGGGTTTGTTTTGCTGGTTGGTGTCTTTTGGGGGTGTCAGTCTGTCTGAGAGCAGTTAGAGCCATGGAGCCTTTCAAGCAGCTTGGTGCCAGTGGCAGCATTTGTGTTAACTCAGCTGTGTGCTGA